GTGCCATGGTATAATTTTAGGACAATATTATATTTTCTACTCCTTCCAAAATAATTTATTAACTTACAATTATCTATTAATATAGTATTATGTATTATTAATAATTAATATGAGAGTTTTACAATAACATTGGAATTTTTAGGGTCAAGTTAGATAAAATTAAAGTGGCACGTAATATGATTAATTAATAATGATAATTAATTTAGTTAATTTATGATTAGAATATAATATAAAAAAGAATAAGAATCTTGAGATTATTCAAAATATGATGCTTAAAATTTTCCACATATTCTGTACTATATAAATATAAGCTAAGCCTCTAGCCTCATATTATATGATGAATATTATTTATCAAAGGGATCACATGCTATTGCTTGTGGTTAACAAAGACTTCAAATCTTTATACGTTTAATTAAACTTAAATACCTTACAGCTTACGAAAGTTACACTCATATACCTCCATTTATATCTAAATGCACTTAAATATCTTAATGTTTTCTAAAATTGCACGTTTGTACTTATATACGCAAGAATACTCTTTATAATTTTCCTATGTAAGTGCCATGATATAATTTTAGAACAATTCTATATTTTCTACTTCTTTCAAAATAATTTATTACTTGCAATTGTCTATTAATATGATATTATGTATTATTAATAATTAATATGAGAGTTTTACAATAACATTGGAAGTTTTAGGGCCAAGTTAGACAAAATTGAAGTGACGTGTAATATGATTAATTAATAATGATAATTAATTTAGTTAATTTATGATTAGAATATAATATCAAAAAAGAATAAGGGAAATATAGTCCATGAAAAGTTTTTTCACAACTCCCTCTTTTAAAGGGTGTATGATATGATGTATGAATTTATATCTAAATGCACTTAAATATCTTAATGTTTTCTAAACTTGCATGTGTGTACTTGTATACGCAAGAATACTCTTTATAATTTTCCTATGTAAGTATCATGATATAATTTTAAAACAATTCTATATTTTCTACTCCTTTAAAAATAATTTATTAACTTGCAATTGTCTATTAATATGATATTATGCATTATTAATAATTAATATGAGAGTTTTATAATAACATTGAAAGTTTTAGAGCCAAGTTAGACAAAATTAAAGTGGCATGTAATATGTTAATAAATAATGATAATTATTTAGTTAATTTATGATTAGAATATAATATCAAAAAAGAATAAGAGCAATATAGTCCACAAAAAGTTTTTTCACAACATGATCTTTTAAAAGAAGTATGATTTTTTTATATAAGAATAATTTTTCAAAACAGGCAGATTTAGCTTTTTATTTTTCAAAATCGACGGTTTTTATTTATTTATCAAAATCGACCCGGTTTTGTGATTAGCAGGTTAATCACTATCCTAAATAGTCGGGGTTACCAACCCCGACTATTTAGGAGGGTGTTAAACCCTAATTAAAGGCCTTAAACCCTAAAAATTAATGTCCTAATTAGTCGGGGTTGGCAACCCCGACTATTTAGGATAGTGATTAGCCTGCTAATCACAAAACCGGGTCGATTTTGATAAATAAATAAATAAACGATCGATTTTGAAAAATAAAAAACTAAATCGGCCTATTTTGAAAAATTGTTCTTTTATATAATCTAGAAGATGTTTGCGAGAGCCTATTTTTAGAAGATTATTAGTCATGCCTTTTTTAAAAGGTGTTTGACTTGGTAAAACGTTGCTTATTTATATAAGGTTGTAACTTGTAAGCCATTTTTTTTCAAAAGTTTGCAAATCCCAACTTTTTTTTAAGTGGAGTCGACTTACTGGTGATTTATCAAACGGTTGTGTCAAAAAGCTAGATGAAAAGCAAATTTGAATTAGAAAAAAAAAACCCCTCTCCAACACTTTCTTAGTACGTTACCCAAGATCCGAACTGAAGACAAAAACAAGGTCTCTTAGGGGGTGTTTGTTTCACCAAAATTTTTGATATTTGGTATGGATTACAAGTTTTGGGATCAAAAAGTGAGTTTTTTGGATTTTGGGATTCCATATATGATGTTTGTTTTAAGAAATTTTTTAGAATATTAAATCACAAAAGTGCAAAAAGTGCCCAATTTTTAGAATTTGTCAAATCCTCTCAATTGGAAAGGATTTTGACAAATCCCATATATGGGTATGCTTACCTCTCAATTGGAAAGGATTTGACAAATCCTAATTTTATCTTTTTGTGGGAGGTAACCTCACCAAGATAGCATCTTCATCATATTACAAAATTTTAGCATTTAGTAATGCTACAATTTGAACTTGAAACAAACAAAATATTACAAATTGTTGTACTCCAAATCCGAAAATATTAGTGAAACAAACAACATTTTAGAAATCACAACCCATAACAAAACACCTATGGATTTCAAATCCCATTGTGAAATTCATATTCTAAAATTATAGGATTTGAAACAAACACCCCCTAAATTAAGAACTTGTTGACTTGGGATCCAGTTTCAAAATCTAGAATAGTGTGAATAAATTTGGGAAAAAAACAGTCATATGAAAACTAAAGAGGATATATTTATTGAAAATACATAGTGAGTAATAGGCCATGGGTCTAAGTATAATTTTATATGCAATATAAACAATATACAAAAGCAGTCGCAAAATAAGTGTAAACTAACGAGGTCCCTTGATAAGTACATGAAACAAAACTTTAAATAGAATATTTATGCACTAAATCATCAATAGTTCATCAATCATCAATCAATCAATACTATACTAATAAACATACAACGTCTAGCCTCATTCTTTGCTGCATGTCAAAATATCAAGCAATTTTGTATCAAATTTTATATTTTGATTCTTAAAGATTTTGTGTTTACAGAGTATAGATTCCAATCTCTATTAATATTCTTGGTGGTCTCTCTATCCACAGCAATTTTGTATCAATTATGCCTGATTTGTTCACTGCTCTCATCATTTTCCAACGAGTACATCTTGGAAATAGTGAACAACTGATCTCCTGTAAGGGGATGTTTGGTTTATGTTCTAGAGGGAAAGGTTCTAATAAAAACCTAGAAAACTAAAAACCAATCCTAACACTACAATCTATTTCATCCAATGGTCAAAATTGAAAATGACAAAATTAAAAATAAATACATCTTATATACACATCAGGGGTAATTTAGGAAAGATTCATTAATGAAACACGTTGTAATTAATTAGCAAAACCTGTCAAACACTCTTTTTCACGAAAAAGACCTTTCAGTTTCACTCTATCAAGCTAGAACAGCAAGTTTTCTCTCTCTATCGTCTCATCTTCTATCTACCAGAACAACTAAATTCTTCACATTGCGTCGATATCTCAACACTTCAATTTCTTTCAACATCTCATTGCAACTCGAACGAAGACGAACAGCAAGCATTCGACGCTGGAGATGAAGAAAAACAACTCACAGACTCCAAAACCCTCGTCTTCAAGAAGGGGTAAAACGAACATAAATCATATGGCTAAGTTTTGATATACTGAATCTGGGTTCATTACAATGAATCTGGATTCACTGGAGTGAATCTGAATTCACTTCATTGAATCCAGATTCACTACACTAAACATGTGAATTCAGTTGAACACGTTCTAGTTGTTAAAGACTGCAGTGATCACTTTGTATTCACATGTTTACTGTAGTGAATCTGGATTCAATGCATTGAATCTAGATTCACTACAGTAAACATGTGAATACATTATGAAAATCACTGCAGTCTCTAACAACTAGAACGTGTTCAACTGAATTCAAGCTCTCCAATTAAATTTACATAAAATGTTTAAGAATGTAAACTCCTAGATAATAAGTCATATGACTAAGTTTTGATATACTGAATCTGGATCCATTATAATGAATCTAAATTCACTGGAGTGAATCTAGATTCACTGCATTGAATTCATATTATTGCTAATTAATCTAGAGTGAATCTCGATTCACTGCATTGAATCCAGATTCACTACAGTAAACAAGTGAATAAATTATGAAAATCACTGCAGTCTCTAACAATGAATCTCGATTCAATGCAGTGAATCTAGATTAACAACTAGAACGTGTTCAACTGAATTCAAGCTCTCCATTTAAATCTCCATAAAATGTTTAAGAATGTAAGCTCCTAGACAATAAGTCATATGACTAAGTTTTGATATACTGAATCTGGATCCATTACAATGGAGTGCTTGGATTCAATGCAGTGAATCGAGTTTCACTCCAGTGAATCCAGATTCTAACAACTAGAACCTGCTCACCTGAATTCAAGCTCTCCATTTAAATCTCCATAAAATGTTTAAGAATGGCCAGCTGATGGACGATGAAGGAGAGAGCTGAAGAACGATGAAGGACAGCTGCTGGTTGTGGAGTGACTAGAAGACGATTTCTCGATTGAGAGAGAGCTGAAGGACGATGAACGAGAGCTGCTGGTTGTGGAGTGAGAGAGCTGCTGTTCGTGACTGTTGGGTTGCCTGAGCCGTGAGATTGCATGGGGAAATGGAAAACTACACTTGCATGGAGAACTCAACAACCAAGCATTAATTACCTCTCTTTGGGGGCTGTTAATTTTACCTGATTACCCTTATGCAGCTTTAATCTCAGCCATTGGATGAATCAGGATCCAATGGAGAGGATTGATTTTTAGTTTTTAGGATAGTGAGGTTTTTATTTGAACCTCTCCCATGTTCTAGAAATCTAAGTTTTGGAGAAATAAGTTGCACTATTATCTTACTCATGAGAAATAAGTTGTGAGACTCATTTCCATGTTTTCAAGCTCATTTCATGACTTTTTGGGAGGAAATGAGTTTCCTTAAATTTAGAACTCATTGCACTATTATTTTACTAGTGGGTGAGTCTCACATGCACAACATCTTTTTTTTTCTTTTCTCAACCGAACACCAAAAAAAGAAAAAGAAACACCTTCACATGGCTTCGTCGGGTGTGCTTTGAATTCCTTTTCTTAGTTTCTCAGCCAACCTAACAGACAAAGACCTTTCAAATTCTTCCAATTTTCTATGTCAACTTTCAAATTTAGATCTCTTTCCTATTACCTCCAATTCATTAGGTCCCTTAACCTCAAACTCCTACCACCACCTTAGACGATGTCATTTTCTTCTCTCCGTGGTCGATCCGCTTCAAAGACCTCACCTCCCTCCATTTCCGGTGACTCCAAGTTTCGATTATGATATTTCCGAGGTATATTCATGCTCTCATCATCAAATCTTATGGGACTATCTCTCATGCTTGGTACAAATCAAAGAGGGCTTCAACTGTTCAGATTTTGCTTCCCCTCTTCACCAGTATTGCATGCGCCAAAGGTACTAGATTTTCATATGATTTCTCCTCCTCAAACAAAAAATTCCTTTTCCTTGATGCATTACATTGCATTGCCCTTCTTTTGAGAGACCATTTTTCTGTCTAGATTTGGTGTGATCAAGAGGATTTTAATTTTGTTAGATATGGACTATGAATATTGGTTTCCCTATGGATTAATTTGGTATGGTTCCTGAATTACTGCTAAAAATTTTAAAATCTATGATTAATTTCTTTACCTACAAATAACTTCTTCTCATTATGAGGATTTTTATTGTAGTAATTTTTCTCGATATTAGAAAGATCTATAAAATTTAGTTCGCAGATTCGCTGTAGCTGATTTTTCTAATTACGTTTCAACTATATAAAAATGGTCTTATTTATATTTATTCTTCAGTCAGGTTGTCGATCAATGAAATTTATAGCTGAAGTGGTCGATTCTAGGAACAGTGGTCTGCTAAAAGAATATATTTAAGAAGGATAATCTTTTCTTTTCTTTTCTTGATTTTATTTCAGATCAATAGCCTCCATGCCTCCGGACCTCCTTAGGAAGCAACACTTAGTCGACTCGATCGGTTGCCGCCTCTGAGGGGCCCTATCATTCTCTCAGAAGAAGAGATCTCTGAGGGCTCATCTCCATGGAAAAAGACTTTGGTTGGCTACCCCTTGGGTGGGTCTCTCATTCTTCCGCGAGAAACAAGGCTCATTTATATGTTCCATTCTTTCTTTATATCTACTTGGGATTCAACCTCGATAACAATGCAATTTGATTTACAGTATAATATACTTTTTTGCATTTTTTGCTTTATTAAATACTAATTGTTGCTAAATAATTATTTGTTTCAGCCTTGATAATAAAAGAGATTCCTTGCAAAGGCTAAGACAAATATCTAACCAAGTTTCGTATTCTATCTCTGATGATTTCCTGCGGTTGTCTGAAAGGAAATATCTGCATGAGATAAATTAATAAGACTCAAGAGGTAAAGTAAACTATATTGCATATAGAATTTATAAATCTTCTTTTGTTTTATACCCATTCAGATATTATATGTTTACTTATATTCTTACTTCTATAGTGCAAAAACTATAAAATTTTAAGTTATCAAAAGGAAATAATTTAATGCAACCTTTGATTAAAATTTTGAGTTCTTAAGTGCTTTTGGGAATTAGACCTCTATATCTTTGTTCCCTTTATATTCCAGTACATAGAGCTCTTCAGTTTTATTTCTTTGTTAGATTCTATATAGGTCTTCTCAATCTGTGCTTAAAAAATCTATTTTTTTAAAGTTTGTAGATCAGTTGTGCTTTTTGATTGTATGAGTGATGATATATTCTGTTCTGATAAGTTGAGTGTTCAGTGTCAAAAGTTCTTTCATATAGTATGTTTCTATTTCATATTAGTTACATTTGACAAACTACTATGAGATGAATATTGCTATTATATGATGCAACTTTATTTGAAAACAATGACAATGATGACAATGTTTTAAAAATATTATGCTTCTTTTAGCATAATTTCATGACTCATGACTATCATTAGAATTTGCATCATTTAATTTCAGCCATCATGACCCATGAGTAAAACTAGAAAATGTTAGTCTGTAGTTTGTTTCCGCGTTCTCTTTAGAGAATAAAATGCCATCGTAAAAACTTCTTACAAGAATCAAATCTGGATCTTTTGGTTCTCTTCATATTTGTAGCATAATTTCATGACTCATGAGTATGGTTAAAATATGCATCATTTAACTAAATTCATCATCATCCATGAGTAAAACTAGAAGTTTCAGTCAATTTGTTTCTGCAGTATGCTCGTTTTATTTTAGAGAATAAAATGCAACCTTTAAAAAGATAAAATTTGTTTAAACTATTTTCTGCACTCTTTTAAAAGTTATTACGGCATTCAAATCTTGACCTCTTGGTGCATTTCATATTTGGTTCCTAATAGCTCTTTACAATTGTTTAAATTTATTTTGATATTTGTACTAATACTACTGGGAATCATTTCACTCAATGGGAATCATTCTCACCCATTTACCATACCAAAAAGGTAATGGATTGATTAATTCTCTCCTTATAATCCTATAGTGCACCTGTGTTGTTGGCGACTATTATACGCATTGAGACGGAGTATAGTTGGTTTTATATCTTCTAGAAAACCATATAATTCAAAGGATGAGTACCATTTTCCTAAATATTGTGTAATGATATGATATCTTCCTAGGACATACATTGATTATGAAAGGTGAGGCATCTAATAAATCTATAGACAATGTAGTTCTCTCTAGGAAGAAGCAATTCGATGAACACACTAATAAAGATGGCCCTGAAGATTAGTTGCTATAATTTACTTTGGGCTAAATGGCACTTAAATACCTTATAGTTTCAAACTCTTAACACGTATATACCCTCGGTTATATTTCGTAGCATTTATATACCCTGAGTTTGTCAAAATTAGCATATTAATACCCTATGTTTTGCAAACGTGACAATGTTTATTCAAAGTTCCCATATAATATTTATATGCTAATATTATAGTTTTTATTAAGTTTGTGAATTAATTGTTATATCTTTTAAAATTCAATTTTTGAAATAGAATTATGATACATTTAAATTAGAATCTGGGGAGATTTAATAGTAATTTAATAAATATTAATCGTTAGAAAGCTCCAAAATTAACATATAAATGTTATATGAGAACTTTCGGATGAAAATTTTCATGCTTGCAAAATATAAGGTATTAAAGTGCCAATTTTGACCAACTAAGGGTATATAAATGCTACAAAATACAATTGAGGGATTATAAATGCTAAAGGAGTGAAATTATGAGGTATTTAAGTGCTATTTAGCCTTTACTTTGTTCTACTCCAGTCTATAATGATCTCCTTTAAATGTATAATCATTTGATCCTTTTCAGGTTATTGCTGAAAATCTTTCTGAAGAATAGATTACATTGAGTTCTTTATGGAACAACGCATGACAACAATATGAAGTGATGATATTTATTCAAAGCCTTTCAATACTTTGATAATGATAGTTGTGGCTGAGTTGTCAGCAATATGAACTCTTCGATCTCTATTTCACTGACACTGGAACTTTATTCTACAAATATTTTTGCTATATAATTTTAACTATTTGGTTCTGAAGTTCCTCATAAATTTTCTAGTAATCAGGGATGAGTTGGAATTAGCCATGAAGGAGCATGGATGATGCCACAAACAAGGATATGATATCTTCTTAATTCTTTTGGGTTATTTTTTTTTTTACTTTTTTTCATAAGTCTTAGACAGATTAGGGCTTGAGTTTTCATAATTTCTCGATTGTGCTTATGTGTATATTATTTTCAATTTTGTTCATCAATTCTTTCATGAAACTGTACGATGGCAATGATGGTGTTATAGCAATTAGCATGGCGAGATAAAAACACCTTAGTTCACTATGTCTTATTCAACAAAAGTAGAGTTGCATAATAAATTTATACTTTCTTTTTAATTCCAGTGAAATTGCTAATTTTAAGTTTCTACAATTGAAATGCATGGTATAATTTAATGTGAAATGTGAATATATTATGAAAATGAAATATCAGGTTTAAGATTATTGTTGCGCGCCTATGCGGAAGCGTGCTTGCACACCGAACAAATCTGTGATCACGGGAGAAGAGAACCAACCACACACGAGCACAATTCAATCCAAATACGACAAATCAAACCAAACATAGAGATATACGTGGTTCGGAAATTTGCCTACGTCCACGGGGAGATGATGGAAAGATTCAACTAAATTAACACTAGTAGAAAACAGAGCATTAGCGACGGGGTATTGGCGACGGATTTAGAATCCGTCGCCAATACAAAAATTGGCGACGGAAAATTACCCGTCGCCAATAACCCGTCACCAATACAAACATTACCAATAACTATTGGCGACGGGAAAACATTGGTGACGGTCATTACCCGTCGCCAATGTTTGTATTGGTGACAGGTTATTGGCGTCCCCAATGTTTTCCGTCGCCAATACTTATTGGCGACGAACCCCGTCCGTCACCAATGTTCTCCCATCGCCAATAAGTATTGGCGACGGGATCTGTACGTCGCCAATGTTAGCATTGGCGACGGGTTATTGGCATCGTCAATGTTTCTCCGTTGCCAATACTTATTAGTGACGGACCGCGTCTGTCACCAATGTTCTCCCATCGCCAATAAGTATTGGCGACGGGATCTGTACGTCGCCAATGTTTATATTGGTGACGGGTTATTATCCGTCGCCAATGTTTGTATTGGTGACGGGTTATTACCCGTCGCCAATACTTATTACTCGTCGCCAATGTTTGTATTGGTGACGGGTTATTAGCGTCGCCAATGTTTTCCGTCGCTAATACTTATTGGCGATGAACCGCGTCCGTCACCAATGTTCTCCCATCGCCAATAAGTATTGGCGACGGGATCTGTACGTCGCTAATGTTTGTACTGGCGATGGGTTATTGGCGTCGTTAATGTTTCTCCGTCGCCAATACTTATTGGCGATGAGTTATTGGTCTCCAATGTTCTCCCATCGCCAATAAGTATTGGCGACGGGATCTGTACGTCGCCAATACTTATTGGCGATAGATGGTATTTTCGTCGCCAATAAGTATTGGCAACGGCTGCCTATCCGTCTCCAATGATCTTAACTTTTAGATTATTATGATACGTACATCTTCTTATAATGTTCCATACTTAATTGAAATTGGTTGAAAATATCACTTTTTAATCATAGTAACATATATATTGTTTATGTTGTCACGAACCTCTAATTCTTAATAGTATTAAAGTCATTGCTTCCCATTCTTATTTTAAATCCCAGACAATTCATAACTTTTTGTACTTATAAGATGATTATGATTTAGAAACTAGTCTCATATCTACGTTATATGTTGGAGAAAAAAGAAGTTTTTAATGAATTTGGGTTTTCACGTTTTAACGGATCAAAACTATGTCCAAATTAAACAGGTTGGATTTTTATAATCTAAAGTCAAGGTAAACTGATAAAAAAGTTATATTTAAAGGAATATTTTTATAGATCTAACTGACGTTAACCAGGGGACCTAATAGTATATATTGTGATGATTTGAGGGATGTAATATAAATTTCCACGACTTGAGTGAGTAATTTTGAAATATTGAAGATTTGAGTGTTAATATTGAAATAATCTAATGATTCACTCTTAACTTAAGGATCTAAGAGGAAAATTGGTAATATTACTTAGATTTGAGGGTTGCAATAGTGTTATGGGGATATTCCCTGTTCTCTACACGTACGTCATCTCGAAATCAGACGTTCCTTCCAGTCGGGTCGATAGCCTTCCTTAAAGACGACTCGAAGAACGGACTCAGCTGATCCTATCCATATCGAAGGATTACTAACTCAGCTCCGGTCGGCTGTGAGTCCCCCATGCCACTGAAGTGACCATTCCTCGCCCGTCAACTTAGCCCTGGTCGGCTGCGAGTTCCCCATGCCACTGAAGTGATCATTCCTCGCCCGCTAACTCAGCCCTGGTTGGCTGCGAGTTCCCCATGCCACTAAAGTGACCATTCCTCGCCCACCAACTCAGCCCTGGTCGGCTGCGAGTTCCCCATGCCACTGAAGTGACCATTCCTCGCACGCTAACTCAGCCCTGGTTGGCTGCGAGTTCCCCATGCCACTAAAGTGACCATTCCTCACCCACCAACTCGCTAACTCAGCCCTGGTTGGCTGCGAGTTCCCCATGCCACTAAAGTGACCATTCCTCACCCACCAACTCAGCCCTGGTCGGCTGCGAGTTCCCTATGCCACTGAAGTGACCATTCCTCGCCCACCAACTCATCCCTGGTCGGCTGTGAGTTCCCCATGCCACGGAAACGACGGCCCGACAATCGCAAGCTGACACGTTCATAACAAAGAATAGGTCAACCTCCAGCTCACTCAGCCGTCACATACCACACACTCCCTAAAGTGACGAATCCGCCCTTAGATTCCTCTATAAATACAGGTATTATTCGTCCTAGGAGGAGGTTCGGTTTTTTGGCTTAAACATCTAAAGCTCCTATGATAATGCAGAAAAATATATTCTAAATACGCCATAAAAGAGTAAATTCACTGACTTGATCGTCGGAGGTACCACGGGTGAAACAAACCCCGCCCTCTTACCGTTCGCATGTGTGCAGGTTATTCGTCCGTCCAGAGCTCTAAGAACTAGGCATAAAGTCGAAGCAGGAAGAGGCCCCGTATTCTGACGATTCATCCTCCCTCGACAGACAACCTCTCCCCTATTGGCTGTGTGATTTTAGACATCAACAAATAGTAAGTTATATGTGATTTCGGGGACTAAATTGAAAATATTAAATCTTTGAGGGGTTAAAGTAAAATATCCCAAGCTTTATATTGAAAAGCAAAAACCTAACCCACCCACATTCTCACAGCCTTTCTCTCTCTCCTCCGTTCTCTAAGTCTTTGAAGTGGATTTTGGATCAGTAATCTGAACGAAAAGCAAAAATTCAAGATGGTAGACGAGTTTGTTGAAGTTAATATAGGATTTCTTATACTTCCTTTCACCCAGTTCAATTTTCAGTTCAAGTAATACTATTAGAATAATTATATTGTCTATATACTATAATATATTTTCTAATTTAATTTTTTATTATGCTCTTGACTAATTTAGTACTATAAATATTTTATAAATTTTTATTCTAATTTAATTTTTTATTATGCTCTTGACTAATTTAGTACTATAAATATTTTATAAATTTTTATTTTTTTTGTAAAAAAGTTAGTTTTCAATCATTACCAAATATAGATTATTTAGTATCGTGTAATAATCTTTGAGAAAACACTCTAAAAATAATACTAATTAATTAATTTAATTTATTTAATAATATAATATTAAATAAATAGTATAATTCCTAATTTATGTGATATTATTAAAATAATTACATTATTTATGTGATTCAAATTTTATTTTATTTATTTAGTTGCTTATTAAATTATAATATAATTCTTAATAGTATTTACTAATATATTATTCTATTTTATACTATCACTTTAATAATTTAATTAATTGGTTCCCACTAATAATTGTGTATACTTATTTTATAAATTATTTTATTTTATTATTTTTAAATAATTAATAGTTATAATATTATTGATAATCATAATTGTTTAGGAAGGTGAGAAGTAATTAGAGGTTATATATTGTGATGATTTGAGGGATGTAATATAAATTTCCAAGTCTTGAGTGAGTAATTTTGAAATATTGAAGATTTGAGAGACCGATTTGGAAATATTGAAGATTTGAGGGTTAATATTGAAATAATCCAATGATTCACTCTTAACTCAAGGATCTAAGAGGAAAATTGATAATATTTGCCAGATTTGAGGGTTACAATAGTAAGTTATATGAGATTTTGGGTACCAAAATGAAATTATTAAATCTTACAAGGGGTAAAACGAAATGTATCAACTATAAAACCCAACCATGTTCTCCAGCCCCCCTCTCTCGCGATCTCCTCCTTCTCCAAACCCTACCACCCCGCCGACCGCCCTCTCCCGCCTGCCCCCCTGCGGACCGACGCCCTAGCCCCCACCCTCGACAGCCAATCCGCCCACGGCTCAGCGCATTACCTCTCCCGACGCCACAGCCAGCCATTGAAGATCCTGCTCGCCGTTCTTTCACCTCTTGCTACCCCCGCCCGCTCCCTCCCCGCCTGCCCCCTACCCGCACGTCCTAACCGCCCCTCCTTGACGGCCTAGCCCCCCCCCCACTCCAATCCAACCCACTGTGCTCAGCCCTTGCCTCCCCGCGCCCATCCATTGGCACCATTGAAACACCTGCTGCACATCTTCATTCTTGCTCACGCCGCCCGCCCTCTCCCCCTGTCCCTGCTGGCCCGACGCCCTAGCCCCTCCGCCCCCTCGACGCCGTAGCCCCCCCCCGACCGCCTCCCCGCCGACAGTCCTTTCCAGCTTCCTGGCTATCCCTCGTTAATTACAGATAAGATTAATGTATATTCCAAAAATTTTGATTTTTTTCAAATATTTCTTATTTATTGTTATCTTTTGAATATTGAAGAATGTTTATTACCCTGAACTTGATTTTACCCCTAATTACAACACAAATATTTAAACCACATCGAAACCCTAACCTTATTAACCAAATAAATCTAAGTAATACCCTAATAATAGTACTTACCCAAAAAATTATCTTTATTAATTTTAGACATAAAACCCTAGTACCCTAAAATATTTGAATCAATCAAATATTTATATATTTTTATAAAAAAATTAGTAGTGTGATATA